CCAGTCAGGCGCACCCCATTTAGTCTTCGAGACAAGGTTAAGGAGAAGATTGAAGAATTAATAGCCATGGACATAATTGAACCAGTAGAGGGCCCAACCCCGTGGGTTAGTCCAGTTGTAGTAGTCCCAAAGCAGAATGACGAAATACGCCTTTGTGTAGACATGCGCAGAGCTAACGAAGCCATTATCAGAGAGCGTTATCCCATACCTACAGTGGACGAAGTGCTCCAAAGCCTCAACCAGAGCACAATGTTCAGTAAACTGGATTTAAAATGGGGCTACCACCAGTTAGAACTCCATCCAGATTCCAGAAGCATCACAACGTTCACTACACATTGTGGTCTTTACCAATACAAGCGTCTCATGTTTGGGATAAGTTCAGCTCCAGAAGTATACCAGCACGTCATCCAACAATCACTACAAGGCTGTGAAGGTGTTGCCAACATCTCAGATGACATCATCGTTCATGGGAAGAACACTGAGGAACATGACAGAAGATTGCAGCGAGTTTTGGAAAGGCTGAAAGAGAAGAACCTCACACTGAATGCAGAGAAGTGTAAGTTCCATATGACCCAGATGGTCTTCATGGGACTGGTGCTAAGCAACAATGGTATTGGTCCTGCTGAAGACAAGGTAAAGGCGATCGTTGATGCAAGAGAACCGCAAAGCGCATCAGAAGTCAGAAGCTTTCTGGGACCGGCAAATTACAATGCCCGTTTCATTTCGGACTTCGCTACAGCCGCGGAGCCATTGCGAAAGTTGACCAAAAAGGGTGTTCGTTTCGAATTTGGAGAAGAGCAGAAGAATGCATTCAATGAGCTTAAGAAGAGACTATCAAGTGCAGATAATCTTGGCTATTTTGATAAAGATGCCAAGACACTAATCATAGCAGATGCAAGCCCGGTGGGCCTCGGTGCGATCCTCATCCAAGAGCAGCAAGGCAGGAAAAGAGTCATTAGCTACGCAAGTAAGAGTTTAAGCGCGGTGGAAAGGCGTTATTCGCAAACGGAAAAAGAAGCCTTAGCTGTCGTATGGGCATGTGAACGATTTCTTGTGTACTTGTACGGCATTGAATTGACACTGTATACTGATCATTAGCCGCTGGAAACAATCTACTCGGGCAGGTCCAAACCGTGTGCACAAATCGAAAGATGGATCCTGCGATTACAGCCATCTAAATTCCAAGTCAAGTACCAATTACAATAAGAGTTATTAGTACTGACATAACATACGTTCATTTTTTCAAGATAAACAAAACACAAAATCTATATGGACATTTAACATTCCTTTGCATCCGTGCACTGCAAAAAATAATAGAGATTACTGTAGTGTTTGCAAGGTACACTTCGTGTGCCATACATGATTTAGAGAAGCAGGTAATGTAAGAGAGGATTGAATCATTAAAGTAGCATGGCAGACGTATAGATTAGATTTGTGTATCCATTTCCATCGACTTTAGAACGTGACATCTGGCGACGAGGATAGAAGTTGCAGCTGCCCAGACTTGGCGTCAATAAAGCTAGACAATTTAACGAGTGTGAAACCATTCGATCCACATGGTGAACCTTCAAGCGTGGGAAGGCGATGGCAGCATTGGTTGAAAAGCTTCTCAGTTTATGCCGATAGCAAAGGCTTGTTCATCCAAGTGGATAAAGCGGATAATAAAATTCAGAGGAGAGCTTTACTCCTTCATTCGGCCAGCGAAGCTGTTCAGGAAATTTTCGAAACGTTACCTGACACAGGTGAGGCAAAAGATTACGAAAAAGCGGCGAAGGCTTTGAACGATTATTTCATTCCAAAGGTAAATTCGACATACCAAAATCACCTGTTTCGCAGCATGGAACAAGAGGACGGCGAAACCATGGCTCAGTTTGTTACACGATTGAGACACGTGGTCAAAGACTGTGACTACGGCGACCAAGCTGAAAACCAGACTCGTGATCAAGTCTTGCAGCGATGTAAATCACATGAACTACGGAAGAAACTACTGGAATAGGGTGAGCACTTAACCTTAAAGTTGTTACTTTCGACGGCACCAAATCACGAGCGAGTTCGGTCACAGCTGGAAAGTATGGAAGGCAAAAAGGACGTGAATTTCATCTGTGACAAGCAAGAAGACAAAGGAAAGGAGTCTGCCAAGCGAGCATGCTACAGATGTGGAAAAGTAGGACATTTTGGAAGAGACCCTGAGTGTCCCGCGAAAGGAAAAACTTGCCATAAGTGCGGAGGAGCTGACCATTTTAGTCCACAGTGTAAAACGAAAACAGCCAAACCTCCCAAACCTAGGCGGGAAGAGAAGACAAAAGGAAGGAAAACAAAGAAGTCAGTCAGGTATGTGAGAAGTGAGAGAGATGAAGATGAATATGCATTTACTGTGAATTCTGCTACATCACCTGAGAAAATAGATGTGACTGTGGGTGGAGTTGTAGTGGCGATGTTGATTGATTCGGGTGCAAGCACCAATGTGATTGACAAAAATCTGTGGTTAAAGTTAAAGCAAGACAAGATTAAGTGTGTGTCGAGAAAGAGTGATAAGAAGCTTTATGCATATGGCAGTAAACAGCCGCTGAACGTTCTAGGAACATTCTCAGCAGAAGCGAGAGTAGAGGGAAAAGAGGCCGAAGCTGAATTTGTTGTTATTAATGGCGAAGGGGCGGCACTGCTTGGAAGAGAAACTGCCATAAAGCTTGGAGTGTTGAAATTAGGAACCCAGATCTGCACTGTGACATGTAGTGAGACAATCATGTCTGATTACAAGGAGATTTTTGAGGGCGTGGGAAAGTTGAAAGATTTCCAAGTTAAGTTGTATGTGAATCCAGATGTACCCCCAGTGGCGCAACCAGTCAGGCGCACCCCATTTAGTCTTCGAGACAAGGTTAAGGAGAAGATTGAAGAATTAATAGCCATGGACATAATTGAACCAGTAGAGGGCCCAACCCCGTGGGTTAGTCCTGTTGTAGTAGTCCCAAAGCAGAATGACGAAATACGCCTTTGTGTAGACATGCGCAGAGCTAACGAAGCCATTATCAGAGAGCGTTATCCCATACCTACAGTGGACGAAGTGCTCCAAAGCCTCAACCAGAGCACAATGTTCAGTAAACTGGATTTAAAATGGGGCTACCACCAGTTAGAACTCCATCCAGATTCCAGAAGCATCACAACGTTCACTACACATTGTGGTCTTTACCAATACAAGCGTCTCATGTTTGGGATAAGTTCAGCTCCAGAAGTATACCAGCACGTCATCCAACAATCACTACAAGGCTGTGAAGGTGTTGCCAACATCTCAGATGACATCATCGTTCATGGGAAGAACACTGAGGAACATGACAGAAGATTGCAGCGAGTTTTGGAAAGGCTGAAAGAGAAGAACCTCACACTGAATGCAGAGAAGTGTAAGTTCCATATGAACCAGATGGTCTTCATGGGACTGGTGCTAAGCAACAATGGTATTGGTCCTGCTGAAGACAGGGTAAAGGCGATCGTTGATGCAAGAGAACCGCAAAGTGCATCAGAAGTCAGAAGCTTTCTGGGACTGGCAAATTACAATGTCCGTTTCATTCCAGACTTCGCTACAACTGCGGAGCCATTGCGAAAGTTGACCAAAAAGGGTGTTCGTTTCAAATTTGGAAAAGAGCAGAAGAATGCATTCAATGAGCTTAAGAGGAGACTATCAAATGCAGATAATCTTGGCTATTTAGATAAAGATGCCAAGACACTAATCATAGCAGATGCAAGCCCGGTGGGCCTCGGTGCGCTACTCATCCAAGAGCAGCAAGGCAGGAAAAGAGTCATGATCTACGCAAGTAAGAGTTTAAGCGCAGTGGAAAGGCGTTATTCGCAAACAGAAAAAGAAGCCTTAGCTGTCGTATGGGCATGTGAACGATTCCATGTGTACTTGTACGGCATTGAATTCACACTGTATACTGATCATTAGCCGCTGGAAACAATCTACTCGAGCAGGTCCAAACCGTGTGCACAAATCGAAAGATGGATCCTGCGATTACAGCCATCTAAATTCCAAGTCAAGTACCTACCTGGTGAGCAGAATATTGCTGACCCATTGTCATGCTTGTTGCATGCGAATGGACAAGCAGAACCATCACCGGCACACAAGGTGTCGGATGAATTTGTCAGGTTCGTCGCAGCAACCGCCACTCCTCAAGCGATGACAACACGTGAAATTGAAGAAGCCTCATCAGAAGACAGAGAGTTTATGGAACTGCGCCAGTACATTAAAGATGGAAACTGGAAAGGTGACCAACATAAGCAGTACGTACCAGTATGTAGCAAACTGTGTGTTATTGGCAAGCTGATCCTTCGTGGTACCAGGATTGTCATACCGAGCAAGCTGAGACCTCGAGTATTGAACCTTGCCCATGAAGGACACCCAGGAATTGTCAGTATGAAGCAGAGGTTGCGATCAAAAGTCTGGTGGCCTGGAATCGACAGGGAAGCCGAGAAGTTTTGCAAAACTTGTTATAGCTGTCAGCTTGTAAGCAGCCCAGCAAACCCAGAGCCAATCAAGTCAACACCATTACCAAGTGGTCCCTGGCAAGATTTGGCCATAGACCTGTTAGGCCCATTACCCTCAGGAGAATCTGTCTTAGTCATCACTGATTACTTCAGCAGATGCTATAAAATAGAAGTCATGCGTTCCACAACGTCAGAAAAAGTCATAGAGTGTTTGGAAAAAATCTTCACCACGCATGGACTACCTCAGTCACTCAGAAGTGACAACGGTCCACAATTCAGATCTGAAGTATTTGAACAGTATTTAGAGGATAACGGTATAGAACACAGGAAGACCACCCCACTATGGCCACAAGCGAATAGCGAAGTGGAAAGACAAAACAGGTCCCTCCTCAAGAGGATGTAAATAGCTCAAGCAGAGGGGAAAGAATGGAAGACAGAAGTGCACAAGTACTTGGTAGCATATAGGTCAACCCCTCACACTACCACAGGTGTGAGCCCAGCGGAACTCTTGTTTGGCAGAAAGATGCGCACTAAATTACACGAACTGAAAGAGGAGAGCACAGAGAGCGAGATGCGAGACAGAGATGGCAAAATGAAACCAAAACCAAATGGTATGCAGACAAGAAGAGGAATGCCCACGAGTCTTACCTAGCTCCAGGTGATCAAGTGTTAGTCAAACAAGAGCATAAAAATAAATTATCAACATCATTTGCTCCTGAGCCTTATGATATTATCACCAAGACTGGAAACAGTGTTGTTATTGAATCACCAGACGGCATTCAACTAAAGCGAAACACAACCCATGTAAAGAAGTATGAGGAGACATCACAGAACCCGGGGGAAACAACTTCAACGCTTGATGTTACTGATCCTGTGGAACCGGAAGCAGAACGAGAAAAACTGAGCAGCCCGGTTGTGACGAGACCGATCAGAGTCAGAAAACCGCCGGAAAGATTTAAAGACTTTGTTACGACTTGAGTGTCATTATCAAGGACTATGTTTTGACTTGAGTGCCATTATCAGAAACTTTGTCGTCAGTTAATGTCATCATTGACTGTTACTGTTCATAAGGGGAGGATGAATGATTTTGTGGCTAGCCCTTTTATGAGTTTCAATTGTATTAGGCTTTAAGCGACCCTCCGTTGTGTTGACATCTTAGGATCGTTGTGGCTTTAAATGAAAAAGGAAGGGATGTAGTGTTCGTAAGGTACACTTCCTGTGCCATACATGATGTAGGGAAGCAGGTAACGTAAGAGAGGATTGAATCATTAAAGTAGCATGGCAGATTTATAGATTAGATTCATGTGTATCCATTTCCATCGACTTTAGAACGTGACAATTACCACATCAAAATCACATAAAAGCAAGGACTTTACACTACAAAGATTCTAAAATCTATATTTTGAAGAGGGTCCCCTAAACCCCTTTGTAAACTTCAGTCACTTAAAAATATTAATTTTGGCCTTTTCATGCATCACGAGCAATATGCAAAATTCTCTCACATTCATGTGAAATTCAAGACAATCACATGGAATTAATATTTTTCTTTTTCCTGTCTTGACCAGTTTTAACACAACAAAAGATGATGTTATGTCATATCTTACTCATGTAAGAACCATTAGTAGTCTGTTTTATGACTTTTATTGATCCATATCAAGTCCACCTCCTGGAAAAACCTTGTTCAAAACCTAACCACAGCCGTTTGAGAATAAATACGTATAATTTCAAAAAAACAAAATAGCCCAAAATTAATCACGCAAACAAAATGGCTCACAGATCACCTTTAACTCAGATCTTAATTCATGGGTCACTTTTAAAAAAACAAATTGGTCACATGTCATCATCAATAATCATGATTCATGAATAATGAAAAAAATAACAATTCACAAGAAAAAATTGCCCAATCACGCTTCATGTAAAATGTATGGGAGATCCTCTTTAATGGTCTTTCTTTAAAAAAATTGAAAACTGAACACACATCTGCTGCATGGTGCCTATGACAGCAAAAGGAGGGGGGAATTGGGGCCTTTTAGAAACCGCAAAACCATAGAAAAAAATCATCCAAAACCGAAAAACCAAAACAAAAATCGATCAAAACTAAAAACCGCATGCAAAACTGTCAAAAGCGATACATTTTCACATCCCAGTCAGTAAAACCATGATCAATCCATATACAGTGGTGACAAGTGGAACATACAAGTAAATTACACTCATTTCATTACAGCATTTGTGAATGCCATGGACTTGCCATTCGTATCTTCTAACTAGTATCTACTTAAATTATAGGCTTTATTTCAGCTGCTCTTTCGAGGAATTCAAGCGTGGTCTCTGCAGACTCAGCAGCTGGTAATGGAGCCCAGTTAAATTAGGGAAATTTGCACAAAATTGCATTTAGCGGCTATTCGAGATAAGTGAAGGCGTGTAATTGCCCCTCAGATTGAACCCAAATAGGTCAAATAGGAAAAACTGAAAACTGCATCGGATATGAAATCCGAAAACCTGTGAGCATTTTTTGCAAAAACTGAAAACCAAATGCTAAAAAAGGGAAAATCCACAACCACAATGAACACCAAAACCAAAAAACCGAAGTTTTTTAGCACAAAAACTGAAAAACCAATCTAATTTAAAATAGCCAAAACTGCAAAAACCAAAAATCCCAAAGTCCCCCTCTACACAGGAGTTCTAGCACTATATCTTATTCTTTAATTTGCAAATGCAAAATTTGCATACAACCTCTTTAAATTTAATCATGCATTATGCACGCATATTAAATTGTGACCATGAAAAAGCAGACAATTGGTTCTAATCATATTGTAGTTGACTTGGACTTGAATGTTAATTTATTTAATAAGAAAGCAGTTTGAATACCAAAACTACTCTATTTTGCCTGTTGGAAGTTAATAGAAGTAATGGATCCTCCAAAAACAGTGGCAATGATTGTTTATAATTTCCACATGATTACAGCAGTATAACAATAAAAACAATCCAAACTTTTCATCCCCAAGAATACTTTCTTGATGTAAACACAAAGTACAAATGTTCTCACTGCAAACTGTTTGTTTCTTTGCCATAATCAGCAGTGTTTAATTTCCATCTGTACTTAATAAAATAATTAATTCAGTTTTAAATGGGAGTAACCTGAAATGACAGTATAAGCTTCAGATCCAAGTATGAAAATGGTCTGAATTAATGTGTTGTGGAAATGAGCACACCTTATGCTTAGGAATATTCGATTTTCTCTCTGATTCAGTTCGAATCTGTGCCAAATATTGCACCAGAAACTATCAGAAACGTATTACTAAGGCTAAATGAAAGCTGAGAAGAAATCGTCAATGGAGACATGCAATCTAAAACATAAATGTTACTCCTGGTACTAAAGAAAAATCAATAAATCAATTCAAACCTAAATTAACTTCCATAAATCTATATGAAGTCGCAAGCATCCGAATTCGAAGGTAATAGACAATATCAATTTTGTCTTGATTTTGACCTATTGTGGGGAGTTTAATTATCTTAACCTAGCGTCAGTGAAGAGGTGAAATTGTTATTTAATCTTGGTGATTTTTACCTTCCATTTTTCAAACAAAGCGAAAGTGGAGACTTTTATGCATACGAGAGCATTAATGAACACATAATTTTTGTCCTTGTAAATTTCTCTTCTCTAAACGAACCCTTTGATTGATAATCGGGTTTGCCTTTTTTGGTAGTCAGGCAAAAGAGAACAGAGAAATAAGATCTTACCAAGTGGATCTTCTGATTTGTTGTCGACTTCGGAGTTTTGTGCTGCCTGTAACTCTTCTGTAACTTCCGCATCTCCCGACAATGTCAGATCCGGATACGAAGATGTTCCCAATTTTGTGCCACATTTAAAGCAGAAGACATGTTCTGCTTCAGATGTGTTTCTGCACTTAGGACATTGCATTGTTTGGATCTCACGACCAATTTAAGACGCCAACAAACAGAAATACTTTCCTGTGTAATGCATGTTGTTATTTCCGTGGCAAATAGTGTTCTTGGAAAGACGGAAGTGGATTCCTGGAAACGAATTCCTTTGGGAAACACGGAAAGACCCTGGGAATGGCACGGTCATGAATATTTCTCGCCCTCTATGACCTATTTTATCAAAAAAAAAAAAAAAAAAACACACTCTGTTCTTGTCCTCCTCTTCATTGTGCTCCTTTCAGCAATTATCACTTTAAAGTTTTGAGGAATCAATCCTGTTAAATCTAATTGAAAAACATTCCTCTCGCAACTTTTTCTGAGACACGTCTGCAGGTGGTACACCCTAAAACTTGCATACTGCAGGTGTGATCAGCAGAAAGTAGAGAAAGAACAAAACAGCCCCACTCCTCCCCTCCCGCTGTTTTGATCATTTATTAAAGCTCTGCAGGGCCCAGTTGTTTAAAGACCGATTAGCGCTTACCCAGGGTTAAATTTTAATCCAGGTTTCTATATTTCTCTGTTCAAAAGCCGTTTTAAGATAATTTTCTAAATTATTCTTAGGGCATTCAGTCATCAAATTGTAGACAAATGGAATTAAACTGAATTTTATTTTAAAACTTTCAGATCTGCAATTCAATTTCACAGTAACCCTGGGTTATCTTAACCCGCCTTTAAACAACCCAGCCCTGGAGGAGTCACGATTCACTGAGTAGTGCCTTTTTTTTCTAATTTGTCACGTGACTTGCGGTCCGCTTAATTCTACAAAATTTATTTGGGCTCTGGAAACAAGCAAACGCTGATAATAATGGCGCTCGTGTGCGACACTCCAAACCAAGTACAGTCCTTGAAGATCTTATTTGCTGTCGCTTAACTATCGTTTGAATCTACCCTGAAGAAACAAGTGACATGGGAGATGTTTCAACACAACGTTCGCCGCAAAGGAGACCAGGAAAAATTCCAGAGTATGTTCTCGAACTTCATGCTGCCCTAACTAATGTACTCGACGACAAAGATCGAATTCTTCTAATTCAATCACTGAATCAATATCAGAGAGATAGAAATGTCAACAATCTCGTTTTAATTCTCAAGTCGATCCTTGATACCTCAAGGAGAAGAGAAGTATACCCGTTGTTACGACAGGTTGTTCCGCACAATGACCAAGAAAAATTCATTAAACTTTGGCACCGTAACGAACCTCGCCAGCGTTCCAAATCGCCCGCTCGATCGCCGGCCAATCTTCACAGGATTCCTTCCTCATCGAGTCTACCAGATAACCTTCATAGGCATGCATCGGACTCGGGAATCGATTTGCCAAACATGACACAATTCGGTTCTTCACGAGATGCAAAACATCCCATCAAGCGATTGTCGGTTAAGCGACCTTCAAACTCTGGATTTGGTTTTTATATTCGTGGAGGATCGGAACATGGCGTTGGTTTGTATGTATCCTCCGTGGATATTAATTCTGTTGCCGAAGCCGCCGGCATGTTACCCGGGGATCATATTATTCAAGTTAATAGCACGAAATTTGACGGACTGACACACGCGCAAGCTGTCAAGGTAACAACAAAAAATTACTAATGGCCTGCAGCTTAAAGTTATAAAATAAAATGAGTTCAAAAATATTTGATGTGATGAATTTCTCTCTGAAAACCAATGTAAAAGTCATTTATTCTTGGTGGTAAAAATATTTAATGTTTCCTTTCTGAAACTCGATGAGAAGTTAGGGAAATTATGATAATGTAAGCAGAAGATATGTTTTGTTTGTGTTAAATGTAGTCTGTTTTTATCTCCTCAGGTAGGTTTTGTCTTCGTTGCCAAAAAGTTTACTTAGTATATTTAAGACTGACGACTTCTTCCTTCGACGGACATCAGTCATTTACGGACTTACAATGTAGCTTAAACTTAGAGAAAACTTAATGCCTGTACTTTTCATATTAAAATCAGAGTAGTTAGTTAGAGGCCAATTACTATCATAATGGTACTGTCTGCAATCAGCGATGTTTGTTTTGTTGTTCAGAAATGCTTTAAATCATAGGTGTTTCTAAACAATCCAAACGTTTCAAATTGCTTATTGATCTGTGGCGTTTAACTTTTTTATTTGATTATAATGGTTTCCACGTAATTGATCAAAATACAAGTTTCACCTTTGCTTGATCGCGCTGGACAACTTGATAACTACTCAAGACTACAAGTCAAAACGCATTCTTAGAAATTGAATGAATAATTTAACCCCTTGACTGTAACTAGTCAAAGAAACTTGAGCTACTAATTATGTTAACGTAAATGTTGATATTATGAATGTATTTTTCCATCCACAGATAGGAAATTTCCCAACAATTAAGTGCATTTACACTTAAAGTGAGAAATAATTATGTTCCAAAAATTATCTTTTTTCGTTGCTCTGTAGATTATTCAACACAGCAAGAAGCTTAATCTGACAGTTCGTTCAGTTGGTCGTATTCCTGATAGTTTTGTTGCGGAGTCAACTTGCAAGTGGGTGGACATGAGGGGTCGCAGAACCTCACCTCCACCTGGGGTTGACTCAAATGGGCGTATCTTGACAGCTGATGGGATCCATAAAAGTGATTTAAGACTTTTAGGAGATGATGATGAACGAAAGGTCAGTTTTGTCTATCTCTATAGTGATAACAGTTTGAATTGATGTATATCTGATTTGGTATAATATATACATGTAACACAATGGTGAATAGTACTTTTCAGATGCATTGATTGGCTAATTCAGAAGTGATTAGCAAGTACTAGTTTCCTCCAAAAAAAAGAGTTGGTTAAGTTTAATTTCTGACTATTTTTCAGTATGCTGACAGAAAATAAAGTAATTTTTTTGGTTCATTTATACTAAAGCTGTAGGTGAACTGTTCACGTAGTGTCAGTAGAAAAGGTAGATATTTACTCAACTTCAAAGTATCATTGTAAATAAGAGCACAAAAAAATAATGAGTTGGAGTTCAAAATTTGGGCACTGCAATTTAATCAATTATAATCTGCAAAGCTTTGACAATTTTTAGAACTTTATTTTTATTGTGTGTCAGCTAATTACACAGTCATAATGTAGAGATCTCAATGATTATAATGTTTGGATAGAAGAATGCCATACCCTATGAAGTCTGAATTACTTTTTTGACCAATTTTCTCGTACATTTGATAGTTGCAAGTAAATGTTACTCCTAGTAGAATATTACTGAGGTCAGTTTGTGTGTACTTTTTCTTTTTCAGGTTAACATCTTTGTGGAGGATGGTGCAAAGTTAGGGTTGATGATTCGTGGGGGTGCTGAGTATGGATTAGGAATTTTTATAGCTGGGGTAGACCCTAACTGTATTGCTGAACAAGTTGGACTCAAGGTCAGAAAAGATGAATTAGTGTCATTACCTTAAAATCTGAAGCAACAGTAAAGTTTCACTTGTTTGGACCTTGGAGGCATGGAGAAGTGTCTTAGCAGAAAAGCTTTCTGTTCAAGGAAATTGTGTTCTAATTCAAAATATTTGTCTTGTTTTGAAATATCCTAAAGTAATTTAATTTTAATTTTTTATGTTTGTTTCAAATTAAGTGAAGTAAAAAGTTGTGGTCTCATCTCTGCAGTGGTTTCAAAATTTTCAGATCTGCATCAGATCAATTTTGCCTTACATCACCGTGCACAAAGACAGCAAAAATAATTTGAACCAAAGCATACATTCATGTGATCATTTGTATGTGTGTGATTTAGAACCACTATCTTGAAGAGTGACCTTTACATGGGTAGAAATGTCCTAAATTCATAACGGATTGTTCAACTTTTTGGCTGGTAGGAAATATCTCAGACCGGAAGTTTGAACTAGTTTGTTCACTTTGTTATCTAAAAGACATTAGTGAACTTTTTAATATCTTTGAAAGGCTGGAGATCAAATCCTTGATGTGAATGGACAAAGTTTTCTAAACATCAGTCACAAAAAGGCAGTGAAGTTGTTAAAATCAACAAGAAACATGATATTAACTTTGAAAGACATTGGCCGGTTACCATTCACAAGGGTAACTCATGACAAAACAAGATGGATTACACAACCTGCTAAAAATGGCGAGATTCAACGGTATGTTATGAAGTTGTGATGTACACATTCATGGTTTACTATTGGATTTTTTTCTTGCTCCTTTTGCATTATTCATTGCCACTTACGCCTGCATGATAAATATGCTAAATCAATAAATCAAAGCAGTACCATAACATAGTGGTTCAATAATCAGCTGGAAGTAGGCTGGAAGTGAATGGGAGAAATTGTAACTTATCAGTTATTATTAATGGTAGTTTCGATATGCAAGCTGACTCAAATAATATTTTTGTCATTACACGCATATGGTTAAGAATATACTTGAAAAATTACTTAGTACTGATTGGTTAAGATAAATGCAGTTTTCAGGTAATTCAATGCAGTTGAGAGTTAATTCAGTGTCCAAGAGGGTTACTTCAGTGCAGAGAAAGTAACAAACCATACATTCTGATTGGTCAATAATCAAACAAACTCATAGAATTACTAAACTCACTGAACAATTCCTTGAACTGTTTGGCCAGACTTAGAACTTTTTTGCTCCTTAAAAATGTGAAAATTTCATTTTATCTTTAGTTATTGTTTTGAGCAGTTGTTTTGACCAAACACACAATGTCACTTACAGGGTTTGAATAAATTATTTTTGCATGTGATGCATGCACTTTTCTTCTGCATAACTATGATAAAGCTACCTTGTATTTTTTCATGTATATTATTAATACATAGTCACATGATTTTTCTCATGTAATTTGGAATAAATAAGCACTAGTCTTGTAAATTTTTTCAAAGACCACAAATTGTACTCGCCCTACAGGCTCATGCAATTTTGTTAGTCTTTTAAAAAATTTACAAGTGCTTATTTATTCCAAACTGCACTCTAAATTAGGTGCATTATTAACTATACAAATTAGTTAAGACTCATTAAAGGTTGACCAAATAATTTTACAAGCAATGCACCAATTACCAGTACCAAGTTAAATGTTAGATTTTAGTTTGTTTCCTTTTTTTCACACTAAACTAAATGCTTGGGAAAATAACTGAGAAGTTGTAAATTTTTATAAATGTACTTCAATCAGGATGTTTTTATTTTAATACTTTAAGGAATAATGAAGAACTTTTTCTTTTGTTTCCCTGTTTACATAAATGATGACTTGTCTCTTTTAAGTAGTTTTTATCTACAACATGATTGGCCTATTGTGAATTCTTGAAGCAGTTCATCTATAATATTCACTAAAAGTAGTGAAACTACAATTTAAACTTATGCAGAAGAAAACCCAATTTGAGTATAAACATGCATTGCAACAATCTTTTGAATACTCTTTCTATGCTAGGCAATTGATATTAAATGCCACAGCTCAGATGTACATGTAGAACTGCTATAAATAATCATTTCTCTGTAAGCTTCTCTGCAATTAAGCTCCTTATCATTCATGAAGTCTTCCATGACAATTATTTTTACTGTTTTGTATGGTGAGCAATAAGTTACATGCCATATTTATTTATCTAATGTCATACTTGAAATTAACATCCATCTTTTCTAATATTCCACAGACATTATGACTTTTCTTTTGATGTGAAATGAAACTCACAGATTTCTTCTTTGTTTCACTCCTTGCACATGTTAATTTGCCATGATTATGCAGTGTTCCTGCGGTCACTCACATTACAGAGGTTGAGGTTCATGCACCTTCCGACTCTGTCCTGGAAGGCCAACCACCTTTATCTTCTAGGTAGTCTACTCTAAGTTTATTCTCTGACTGTATTGTTCTCTCATCTAGTAATTATGGCAGAGGCAACACTTCCAGCTACATTGTATTTGTGAATCAAATTGCTGTTCAGTGGCAAATTCACCTCGACTGTCTAATGATCTAATAGAATCTTATCAGCCTTTCACATTTTTCATTTATATTTGATTAAATGGTTTTTGTTTTAGTTTTGTGTTAATTAAGAGGGTACAGTAGTATACTTGTTACAAACTTGTTTTTAAGGCTGTTTCATTTCCACCTCGATGTACATGTATATTGTAACAAAATAAAACTGTACTTGCCCTGAAAATCCCATTGTTAGTTGGCCACATGTATGTCACTAGACCCACGATGTCTTTAAACTAGTGTAGTATCACTACCGGTACATGTACATGTAAATGCAATAGTCAAAATTTTAGAAGTTCTGAGATTTGAAAAGGAGGTTGTGGGATACTCACCTAGTGGTACACAAGACTTCAGCCATTACAATCATAGTACATGTAGTATGGTCGTAATAATGACAGCTTGGTGAGTTGGAATACAAACAGTACTGTCTTATGTGCTTCAATTACAAATGTCACGCATGTTCAGAAGATTGGGTGCTAAAGTTTTTAGTAATTTGTCTTCCCAATTTGTGATTTAATTATATGCTTCATTTTCCTTCAATTACAAATGTCATGCATGTTCAGAAGATTGGGTGCTAAAGTTTTTAGTAATTTGTCTTCCCAATTTGTGATTTAATTATATGCTTCATTTTCCTTTATTTCATGAAAAGTCGACGCACAACACATGGAAGAATAACTCATGGTGGTGACACTGAGGTGTGTATGACTTTGTATACTTTTTTTTTCTGATGGCTATATAATGGGAACACACTCTAAGCAAATTTGTATATGTAGTGAAGTGCTGTATGTACCATCACAGTGAATTGAATAGATATTGAAATCAACCATACCTTATCATCATCAGTTAGGTTACAAAATGTAATTGTTAACTACTGTCAATGAACCAAACTCAGATCCTAATTGTACACACACCACATAAAGCAACATTAAAGAGCCTTTCCAAATAGATTTAAACAAGTCCATGCAATTGCAAGGAATTATTCAATAACTGATTTTTCAACTATGTTGATGATGGTTTTTTGCCAATGATTCATGAAATGTTACTTGCTTAGTTATTTAGATAGATTCATACAAATGACCACAATTATATTAGTCATGTACGTACTGTAAACATTGTAAATGTAGTTGTTAGATACATACACTGTAGGATAAACAAATTGTTGAAACAATATATTTTACACTTCATGAAGGGTCAGTATTACATAAACTTGCCCAATTGATTTTATGTTTGTTCTTTCTAGCCTTCAATGTTTCATCATGGGATCGCAGGATCTCAAGTCCTATACAGTGGGGGACTTCCATCACAGAAGAACCTAATAACAGAACAAGCTCGGCTAATCCTTGATGATAATGAGTTAGAAACCTTGACATATTACTTGGATGAGTACTGCAAGGGTTTTATTAGCATTGATGCATTTGTTTTGGCCATGTTTGATCTGCTTGACACCCCAGCTAAGGCAGGTTTTTGAGCTTTTATGAATTGCCCCATTTTTCATATAAATTTATATGTAATTGTAGTTTGTTTTTAAGTACCTCAATTTTAAATTGATAGAGAGGTATGGTTGCCTAATATTGGATTTTATGCTCTTGTTTGAAGCCTTAAATTGTGCACCATTATCTTATAATTTTTGGCAACCTCTATCACTCCTACCTAGTAGTAAACTCTTAGGGAGGCCTAATGAAATTGTGGGGTTCACACTCCCATATAAATCAATACTCATTTTGGAGGATCAGCAACACTCTATTTCAAATAGTATTAGGCTAGCCCTCAGCAGCTGTTTGTGCAGTCTTTTATGCAGACACTGTCTTTAATTACAGATTTTAGGTGATCATTTTGGATATGATTATGAACTTCGCATAACTAACGTGTTTGGATATTCTGGATGTATCAACAAAGTTGAAATGGTAAATTGGCCACCATAACGATTACAAAAGCTGACGTTTCGAGCCTTTGTAGCTCCATTTCCTGCCTTCAAAAGCACACACAACCCACAATTCCTCTATTCGCTCCGACGAAGGGCTAACGCTCGAAACGTCAGCTTTTGTAATCGTTACGGTGGCCAATTTACCATTTCAACTTTGTTGATATATCCAAATTATTTCGTTACTCCCACCGACGCAGCCCCAAACAGTTTCTTTCGAAACTATCAGCCTTTATTTATCTGTTTGGATATTCAATGAACATGTCATGTTCAATAGAAGTTAAGAAAATTTTAATAAACCCTCCACATTTGTGGCACGTAGCTTTTCTTCCTTTTTTGCATGACCATTTGTAAAGTGTGTTCTTCCTTTGTGGTACCATAGCGATGAAGTACACTGAAAGTGACAATGTGGTGTATTTTTACTGAAAATGAATGTTTTTCATTCAACAGATGTCATTGATGGGGGAAATACGAGGCTCTGTGGCACCTAGAGATATTGACCGATTTGATGACTTAGTACTCAAAAAAGAAATTGAAATGATGAAGGTATGAAACATATTTTTCACTATTAACTGTACATTTATAACTGAATTTCAAATATCCTCATCATTTAGTCGATTTTATATCACTCATTTGCCTATGCTGTGGGATAACAAACTTTTTACTTTGATGAAATTAACAGAGTCGCCAGTTTTTCGGAAGTCATATGTCAGATGACAGACACTCCATTCACTCGTATGCAAGCAGTGTGTCAAGCTTCTCTGGAAAGGGGTCATCTTCAAGCCACAGCTCGGTCAAAGTAAGATTTAAGTTGTACATGTACATGTATTGATATTCTTTCTCTGAGCTTCCATAGAGAGAAAATGTACAAGTAGATACATGTGCAGTGTATATCGGAAAATACGAGCCTCTGAGAGATATCGAGCCACTTGAACCTGTCAAGATTTGAAATCAATGAGCTTTGCTAAAAAATCAAGTTATCATTGAGATGTATGTGAGAACAAGACGTAGTTTCATGATCACGTTCGTAATATTTTTTTGAAGATGGTTATACCGTACATTCAATGGAAGCCAATTAGAAACACCACCAATGTTATTCAGTCAAGGGAGAGAAACTTCTCTTAAAACCTGATCAATATCGCATTGTTCCATTAGTATATTGGTGAAACGGAAGCTTTTTTTTCTTTTTTCTTCGTTTATAGGGTTCTTTAAACGGTGCAGATTCACGTCCAATCACCCCTCCTCAAGTACCTGAAGTTTTGCCTTCAAATGTGAAAGTAAGCTCAGAAATAGCTTAGAATATCTTTAAACCAGAGATGTCCTTGCCTTACAATCTTGTTATTTGGTCGGCTGAATGAAAATACACTTATAAGCTTTTTTCTGCAAAGTAAGTGAATATTTAATACGCTAAGTACAGTCGGGTAACCTCAAGTATATAAGACTTCACAACTTGAAGTATGAAAGTCAGGCAGGTTATTTTCAAATGCTTCCGTTTTAGTTTTTTTTCATTTATTTCGTAGTTGTCTATTTATTTATTTATTTTTTTACTTATTTATTTAATCTATTAAATAAATTTTTCCATTCCCGGAATTTTGAACGGTTACCCGACATTAAGCCAGTCAGTTTAAAAGGTTTTCTTTTAACATGTCACGAATAAGTGAGCTTTAAATCGCTACCCATTCGTACCTAGTTTTGTATGATTAACTAGAAGAAAACTTAGCAAACTTAGACCTGCTCAAAATTGGTAGGACGTAATGATTATGACGAAGCTAAGGACAGTTTGTTCTGATCCGTCCCCTTGTAAGGCTAGATTGTAAGTTACGTAGGATAATAGAACACCAACTAAAATTAGGGCATTTTAACAAGCCTTTCTCCCTGAATCTAAACTATCATTTTCAAATATTTCCCTTACCTTCGCGGGATGAGAAGATGTTTCGTTGACAAACATACTTTCCAAGCATTTGAGGGTACGAGATTTTTCTTTTGACAACACAACTCAAGTCCTAGTTTTTTTCTTTCAACCCTACGCCCTTGAAGCAAGTGCTCCCGACTTGAAAAAGGCGGGAAAAAGACTCGACACCAGTCTTGTGCTTACATTTAGCTCCGCCTGCATTTGTTCCATACTAGCTACAGTGTAAGAAATGGCTATTGTAAGTAGGCAATTCTCTACAAAGTTGTCTTTTTTTATTGCCTCCGTTCCTCTAAACGTTAACGCTCTAGCGCTTGATTTCCTACAAGAGAAACTTAAACCATAGAAAGTAAATAATTTACATTCGCCTAAACGTAACCCTATTCTTTTGATGGGTGAGTTATGGCCGAAAGAATTTTTGCATTAGGCATAGGGTGAGCCGAAAGAGGAATTGGCTAGCGCCGCTGAACGGGAGTAGGGTGGGGAAATTTGCAGACGTTGTTGAGTCAGCAGACTTGCGAGAAGAAAGAGAATTCTACAGCCAATCAATAGCTGCCACGGGAGTACGGAGTTATCCGATTAAGTAATTAGATATGCGGCGGCTTTTACGCGAACGAGAATAGTTAAATTTTATCCAAGATCAAGCGCTCAGCACTAAGTACATTTTGAAGAACCGGCCCTTGGAGTGAAAAGATGATTTCAAATGCCTGAAATAATTCCATGGGCGAATACCTAACCGGTTGGTTGCATGGAAAGGAATTAAGCTTTATATGTGTATTTCGTATAATTTCAGAGCTGAGCAAAGAGTTTCCAGCAATCTGATTGGTCGAGCGGTTCCTTATATGACGCTATATAAACCGCTCCATGCGGCTTATGTAAAATGTTAAAATAAAATGTTAATAAATGTTACTAAAATGTTATGATTTTTAGAAATTTCTCTGTTGCTCAGCTCTGAAATTATGCTAAAACAATTATTCGCCTCAGGTTCGGTGAATATTGTCGAATAATCCCCTCGACTTCGTCTCGGGGATTATTCGACGATATTCACCTCGCCTTCGGCGAATAATTGTTAAATATGTCTGACATTAATTTTCATCTTCTTTTCCCGGCAGATTGCATATGACGAAACATCCCGAACTTACGATGTTTATGAGGCCACACTGACATTTGATGAAGACCAGGAAGAGGTTGGTTCAACAATTTGCATCAATCTTCCATATATCTTCAACACGTCCCTGTAACGATGCTGTGATGTCATAGGCCCTTCGAGCATGCGCAGTAGAATGAAAGGGTATCCCGGATGTCGTTGTTGTTGTTGTATTACGCCTAGCACTGGCGGGCTTTTATGAGACGTATTAAAGAACCGTTGTGTTGCCATCGTTCTTGTACTCGTTTAGACTACGCTACATGGTGTCACTCGTTTGACATATCAACAGATGTGTTGACAGCGTTCACAAAATAACTTTGCCATCATTATGACAGTCAAAGATTCAAGAGTTCTATAATTCTTCCACAAACTCTGTTTGCGAGTCCAAAAAGGCGGAAAACTCTAATGGACATATGCACTCATTCCTTTTCAGACTTTTGACGATGGAGAGATGGAAGGACTTCCATCTTTACTGAACATCAATCCCATGTCACTGGATCTTCCACTCTCGGAGGTAATGACCAACTTTTTGTATTAGTCTGCCATGTTGTATTCAGTCTGCCATGCTGAAATTTGACAAGAAATTGAATGTCAGTAGACGATGAAATGACAATAGTAGCCTTACTTGCATGTAAATTTTATGAAGCACCGTGAAATAGTTTAAAGCTCTTGGTCCATTTAGTTAGGAATACCCTTGAAACGACTTCCATATCGCATAAATTCCAGCTATCAGTTCTGTGATCGCTTGTGTAGAGAATCAACAATGCTTTTAAACGCCACCAATCCCACCAATCACGTAGCTCCATTTTCTGCCTTTAAAAGCACACACAACCCACAATTCCTCTATTCGCTCCGACGAAGGGCTAACGCTCGAAACGTCAGCTTTTATAATCGTAAAGGTGGCCAATTTACCATTTCAACTTTGAAATTATTTTGTTACCCCCACCGACGCAGCCCCACACAGTTTCTTTAGAAACTATCAGCCTTTATTCATGCTTTTAAACGACTTGCCACAATTGTATAATGCCGTTTTAGAATTTTTTTTTCTATATGGAAAAGAAAGCTTACACTATCTCATCATCTTCTTCTTTCCTAGGATACTTCATTTCCTTGTCCCGGTAATAATGTCTCCTCGCCAGTGTTGACCTCTTCGCCCGCGAGGGACCGAGAACTAGTGACTCCAACAAGAACGAGAGGAGTAGCGACATCCAGTGAGAAAGTGGGTGACAACACCAGAAAAGAGAAAGAAGCTAAAGACTCCCTCCCCGCTGAAAATGTCAATCTTCACCCGGACGACTTCCCTGGGAAAAGAACATCGAAGCCACAGGTTTCCCACAACAGTCATGACTACGTCAACGCGGATTTGCAATCCACGGGGAAACCTCAGACACCTCCGAATCCTTTTATTTTTCCAAGCACGTTCCAAGGCAACGTTACAGACACAGGTTTTAAGGCAATTGATTGTTCGCCGTCGTTTACGTCGTCTACAACTGGAGCGACCATTTCTGAATCGACGTTGCAGAATCGTACTGGTGACGCGAAAACCCAAGGACGCGAGAAAGCGGGTAAAACACAACGTGTTGTCGCTGAAGTACCTGACGACGACCTGAGACCAGAAGTGGCGAAACTCCCTGGAAGGAAGAGGTTGGCATCCTGGGGTACACCCCCTGACGAGGAGGGTGCAACGAACGATGAACCCAACAGAGATCCACTGACCAATGGATACCATACTGATCGTGTAACGCGCCCCGGACAGACAACCAGTGAACACAACCAGCTTTCTGATGTCTGCAGTGAGACGTCTTCACCCAGTGAAAGTCGTCAAGGCTCTGTTTCCCGGAACAGGAAGAGCTGGGACGGAGTACGACATCCTGGAGACCCTGGAGATAACCAAAAGGTTTCTAGACTGGAGAAACAGAGGGACAACAAGGAACGGAGTTGCAGTGATAGCAACTTGCTGGTAAGAAACATACAATCAGGAGTGTAAACTCAGCTTTTTGGGGTTACATAAACGTGAGAACTGAAATTTTTATTATGATTTGTTTATCATTTTATTTATTTATTTATTTTTATTATTCAACTGGTATAAAATATGGATCGTTTTGTGGTCTTTGACGAGGTAATGAGCACGTGGTGGTCTATCGATTACATTTGTAACTGAGCCTAGTTTGGACATTTATTTTCTTGGACCAAACTAAACCCTGAAATCGATTATCTCAGGTTATAGTTGGGTGTATGCAAATTTTGTTGATGTTGTTTAATGGACGGAGAAGGAAATGAAAATTTAGGACAAACCAGATTCATAAAAATGATGAAAACTGGCTTTTAAAACCAATGACAAATGGGCCTTTTGTTTGATTTTTGCGTGAAGAACCTCCCTAAAGAGCAGCAGAAGGTTATTCAGGCAAAACACAGAGCAAGTCAAGAACTCTATGAGCTTCACCAACAGACAAAAACTAAGGTACAACTAACAAACTGACTCGGTGTTATTTTTTTTTGGTTTTGTTTTGTTTGTTTGTTTGTTTGTTTTGGTTCCTTTTTTTATGAAGAAATACATTCCACGTTAAGTAATATCCTGGAAATCACTGGGTAGAAAAGCTCCTGACAACTGACTAAAGTGCCAGTAGTTGGGGGTTGATAGTAGCCTATTCTTTAAAACTACTCAGTATACCTATATAATGTTTTCTTGTTATTATTAGGGTAGTACAAGCCAAAATGAGACCATTTCATCAGAAGCGAGCGTGTCCTCAAAGTTGAACGGAGTTCGAGAGCCTGAGTTTGTCGTCGAAATTGATAAATCAGCAGGAAGCTTGGGTCTGTCCTTGGAAGGTGGATGTGATGCAGGAGGTGATGTGAAGATCAAGTCAGTCAAGGTGAGATACTTATGATTACAACGTGAATGAGCTGTCGAAGAGCATGGGAATTTATTGAAGAGCTAAGATTGCCTTCCTAACTCTCTTCCCTCCCTTAAACCAACACCCCCATATTCCCCACAATTTTCTGGAAGCATTGGACGAAGAGCCAGCTCTTGGATGTGCTGATGCTTAAGTTCAGTGGAATTTTTTTTTCTTAATTGTGATGATCAATTTAATTATGGAATAAAATCGTAGCGTGAATTAAAAGCCGTAGATCTTACCTCTTTGACAAAATTAATGTTTTTTACATTGATTAAATGTCGCAAAGGCAAAGTGCGCAGTACTAATAATGGTCAGTTCAAATCAAGGTAAATGTCACACGAGACCATTGGGAACTCAAATTGAATAGACCGCGAGAAAATGCAGGTAAAAGTTCGCGAGGGACTGACGTTTCGCTCCTGAATGTTTAGGTAATTGCGTGACGTTCTAACCCAGTGGCCAAGCGAAGTTACTCAAAATCCTTTGCGAGCTTTCCTTTTACATTCAATCAAAAGCGGTCGCATACTTCCGTCGCACAAACACATTAAAGAGACAAGTTTCAGCGAGTGAATTTCTTTTTCATAGTTGAAGCATTCGTGTTGCGCGCGTGAAAACTTATCTCCCAAATGTGTTTTTTTTTTTTTGTGACACTTGATTCGTTCACATTTTCTGAAACTTTATTTCAGATACCCACATTCCCATTTGGACTCAACAAGTGTTAAAATTTTTGGGGGAGTTAATTCATTGCATGCTTACGTTGCAGCCCATCAGGAAAATGTGGAAACCGCTCTTTGCTGGAAGTTTAACTACGTCATCTTAATGTTTTCAATCCGATCAACCAACAGTTATTGTTAGTAGTTCATTCTCACAATGTACCAACTAGCAAGGCTGTCGACGTGTTGTTCAATAGTGACGAGTTTTCAAAATTGGCTAGATTCATTTATATTGTTGTGTAACGTAATACGCGATAGAAACTGTCGCGTGACAATGATAGAAAGCGTTATCAGCTCAGATGCTGTAAACTCATGAAACTCCCCTAGAACGCCACGATAGGTTTGCTTAAACACGAAGGCGCGCTATAAAAGGAGCCTTATGTCCCACTGGACCATTTGTCAATCAACCGTCGTGTGATGTAGAACTCTTAGAGTCAAGTTAGCTTGAGCTACAGCTACTCCAAAGCAGTGAACAGCGGGCGCATTCCTCAAAATTGTTTTACGTCTTCATCACAATACAAGAATTTTGAGATTTGTATTTCCTTTCTCCAATGGAAACTGTCTTTATTTGTGGCAGTAAATTTGAGATCGAAGTAGGTGGTTCGCACGTTACCTCATGCCATCATGCTGGTGGAAGTAAACAATAGATATCTCATTAGCTCCTTTTGTTCGTCTACCAGCATTTGAATTTGACCCGCACACGTCAACGGTGAGTGATAAATGAGCCTAGGTCTTCCCAGGGAAGACTTCCTCATATAGTGCGCCTTCGTGTTTAATTGGTATCCCACCCTTGTCTTCTCTTCCGGTCACCTCTATCGACCATTGGTTCATGAAATGAACAGTGTTGTTATTAAGGTCATCTGTTCCGCACGCAGGCTCTCAATAGGGACCTAAGCAGTCAAGACGGCAACGCCACGGAAGACGTCAGTTAAAAAAATGAGTTTCTACTTTTAGTTAGAATTTCGAAAATGGCTGCGTGTGTTTACCGTCTCATAGGGCGCCAGACCTCAAACTCAACATAACGCATAAAAGTAGCGTTGACTTCCAAATGTAAATTAAAATAATTTGCCGCCGCGGTTTCGCTTCGCAGACGACGCAAGTTTTGGTGATTTCACGTTGTTGTTTTGCAAAGGACGGCTAAGAAATGTACAAAGTTTTAAAACGCACGTACTGGGCTATTGTTCTGCCAATTAGATCTATTGTTTTTCCACGTTCTTGTTGCCGTAGCCGTCGTGGTTTGCTTAAAGTCCCTATTGACGTTGCGGCACGAGGTCGATCTCGCGGTCTTCGGCGCTCGTTCCGCAACGTTAACCCTTTACGCCCTAAGACCATTATTATGCATGTTCTCCATACTGTTCTTTATACATTTCCTAAGGTGTTGACAAGGAGAATTTGTTTAACAATCATGAGCCTTTTAGTTGGTGATCATTTCCTTTATTCTCATAACCTTAATGTTGGATTCAGGGGGGATATTGTAAGGAGAAATTAGATGCTAGTCATTCTTTGAGGTTAAAGGGCTAGTGAGAGGTTACTCTTGGCTCTTTTCCTGACAACTACCTCCCATGCGTTAGTCAAGTATCCATATCGAAAAAAAGATTTTGCATTTTCCCTACAAATTGGCAGCCCTTTCAAAATACTGAGGCATTTGATTCCCCCTGTTTTGGCACTAGCGTGGCACTATTTGTACTCTTGAAAATGTTTTGGAACTGCATGCTTACTAGATGGGCTCTTCGTTGTCACGAATTTTCATCAAAAATTTAATCTATTTTTTTTTTTTTTTTTGGTTTTATAAAGGGTAATTTCGCCGCGGGGAGATCTGGAAGGTTAAAACCGGGTCAAGTTCTTCTCCAAGTGGACGACACACCAATACGTGGAATGACCAGCGGCGTGGCCGTACTCACCTTGAGAAATGCGTACTCCAACCCAGACTCCGCCGTACTCAAGCTTCTTGTTCGAGATATTTAGTGCAGTCATTCACTCACATAAACGATTTTTTTTTATTTCTGTGTGAATTATTGGTTACTGTAGAGCTAAGCTCAATGATCTCATAAAAAAAAAAAACAATAAGTGGATCTTTCAAAGACGACTTGTAAATATCGAGATCCATAGAGTGTTTTATTGATGCAGAGGGTTTCCAGTCGCAAAAGGTTCGCCCCATTATTTTTCACACTATTTAACTTAAAACACACCTTAGTTAAAGGAATTCTAATAAACTATATCAATGGCTTGTTGGACCTTGGCTAATTTCTTGAGAGTGGTTAAATCAAGTTTTTCTCTCCTTTATTGAGGTTGCAAGTTTTACAAAATCTGCCTAAAGGGGGGAAGTGCCCCAAAGGTCGTTTACTTTGAGCAATGACCTGTGACCGTGAGCTACGAGTAGAAATTGTTCATTTGAAATCAAATTCGCGAAAGAGACGATAACAGAAAAATCCAGTTGCCCCAGGTTAAGGAAGGGGATTACGAAACTTCTACAGGCGGATTCATGCAGACGTCATTGTTTACATTTTTGCTCATTTGCATACGGCTTTGCGTAAAGAAGGAAGCATGTTAGATACAAATTGACGTCAGGCAGCTAAAGAGCTAGAAAACCTTAGTACATGGTGAAATTTGTAGCTCTTTGAGTGTAATATTCAAGGAGAAATAGTCCATCAAAAACTGCAAAATTTCTGGGTGGCAAAAGCGCTAATGAGGTCATACATTCTATGTAAAATTTTGAGTTTTTAAACCCGTGTTGCACAAAAAGTACTCAATGCATCAGGCTCGTATTCATTGGCCGAGTTAATCGTACTTTGACCTTTCGATATTCAGAACTGATTTAGTTTTAGCTCCATCAGAAACTGAATTGCTTATGCTAATAAGGCAAATACTGTAAACAAGGATTCCCCTATTGGGGGTGTGGGACTATGTTCACCCGGAAGGTGTACTTGAGTAGCAGCATGTACCCGCACAGGATTTGCGAGAATGCTCATGCAAATGAAAATAAATAAAATCGAAATTGAAGATGTGTTCCTGCGTGTATAAACTTTTTTCGATATTACAAAACAGTTTCCCTTTCTGTTACTGGCAGGAGAGTTAAAGAAGAATTCTCCCGGCCAGTTAAAATTTTTCTCTTCGAGAAATCGATTCTCCTCACGCAAATGGATATTAGTAAAATGAAGACTCAACAGCCCCGATTCCACCCGCGCATAAGAGAGCTGTAGAATATGAGTTGGTTTGGTCAGCTACTAAACCAGGAAATGTGAAATGAAGAAGAAAAGAAATTAAATTTTTGCCACAATCCTTAGTTGGTTTATTCATATTTTTTCACGTTCATTCATTCATTTACCATACCTTTCTTTCCTATTAACTTGCTTCATTCTCTTTTCTTCTCCAGTTTTCCCTTTTTATGCGAACGTTTTTCAGTACCTCCGATGGGTGCATCAAACAGGTTGTGTCACTGATCGTCAAGAGCCCGGATAACAACTCTTTGATACAATTTGGTGGAAAATTGAACGAAAATCATCAACGATCTATTTCGCTTACCACTTTCGCTGCATATACGATACTATAAGTTTTGTAAATGGCCTGCTTCTCACACGTCCAACCGTGCTTCTCGAAGGAATCGAAGACTGGACCCGAGAAAACAACGAGATCAACCGATGTCTGTGGTCCAAATGCTCTTCCATTCGGTTTAATTTGTCCTTGTTTTTGCTTCTTTTTTTTTTGTTTTCGCCTCTTTCCGTTCCTTTCTCCTGCTGATTTGAATATTTGTCCAACTACTGGGTTTTAAGGCTATTTGACTTGAATTCCGACCACAGATTCAAGGGTTACAGAACAAGAATTGTCATTCAAATTCTCATTTCCACAAGAGAATGTCACTATTTCAGTTTCAAAACTAGCTTCAAAATTCACAAATTTAACAACGCTACAATAAACATTTGGTCAGTCACCGCTACTAATGCGCGATGCGAGAAAACCCGTCTCACCGTTTCTCTGGAGTACAAATACCGCGAGATATTTGTACTCGTCTCGCACGTTATTTGCACTTTAGGAAGCACAGTTAGACAATAATGGGCTTTATTCTGCAAAGTGCGAAGCATTTTTGTGCCGATCATGATATTGCTGTACAGTCCCTACTCCAGTACATTTCCGAACCTCTTATGAAGCGTTTCAAAGCCATAATTTTACCGGCTTCAGTTCATAACAATGTTAGAAATGACTTTTAATTTCTGGGTTTTCGTTCAGGACAGGTTGATAACGCAATGTTTTCAAGTGGGAAGATGACTTGTTTCCCACAAGCTAAGCCATGCATTTCCCACGATGTAATACCCAACTAGAGTGCCTGATTTTGGAAGCTGATCTTGCAATGGAAAAACAGACGTTTTCGGGGCGACGGCGACGTGGAGACCGATTAAGATTGGGGCGAGATTAACTGCGCATGCGGCCCCGCCGTCCCCCTCACGTCGGCGACGTGAGATCAGTGAGTTTGCCGTCGTGGTGAAAACGTGAGTTGATCTTGTTTGTTTTATTTAATATACTGCCAATTTTGTCACTTGCATCAAAGTGATTGCATTATCACATTTCGCACAAAATCATCACACGATGTCTCGGCCAACTCAAGAGACCTTTTGTTTTCTCTTTAGGTTAAAATGACCGAGGCAACACAGTGAAGTCCAAATCGTCGAGGTAAGTTTTGGGCACGTACGCATACAGTACTTGAATCCTTAACATAAAAGGAAATTTTTGCTTGCTGCCATTCTCTTTATCAATTCGTAGATGCACCTCGAAAACGTACACCTCACTGAGATCTATGGAGATTTTCATTGAGAAAATTAGGGTTTTTAGACGGAAATATTTCATACAAAACCAAGAACTCTTCATCGCTAATAAGATTAGCGTCGTAGTAAAAGACGAGGAGGTGGCGGAATTCTTCAAACGTAACCATGCTACGACAAAAAAGCCTCAATTTATAAAGCGAAACTCGACGAACTTCGAAGAAGTCGCAAAGGCCGGCCGTCATCAGAATCTTAACAACTTCAATTATGGCGCGAAAACGGCAACCTCTGACCCAGTTTACCTGGGTTGTCACGTCGACGTCGCCCCGAAAACGTCTGTATCTTAAGCTCCCTTTTAACTCTACCCAACCGATAACTCGCCAACCTCGTTCCCAGGGTCTCTCATCTTCCCGCCCGCGCGCGCTCTCCTCTCTCACTCCAGGGGGAGGGAAGATGAGAGACTCTGGGAACGAAGTTGATAAATCACCATATAGCAGATCATGAGTGTTAATAAAACGTAATGCGCTATTCAATGGATAGAGATTGATCCGACGGAGAACGTTATCTACCCTTTTAACAACCGGAGCCAGGTGTAGCCTAGTTGGTTTATCAGCCTTTTTCGCAGGAACCACTATGTTTTTTTTTTTTTTTTATTTTACCCACATTACAACTTTATTAATTTCCGACACCCGTTTTGTTGTTTTGAAAAGATAATATAAAAATTGTAGCCACGTAATTGATTGTAAACAAAAAAAAATTGGAAAAAAGTCCTAAATATAAACTTCATAGTAAATATGACTGAACACGCACACGTGTAATGAAAGTAGTTGTTGGTATTGATATGGTTACAACACAGTTTCCTTTTCTATCACTAGCAGTTCAGTTAAAGATGAGTTCTCTGAGTCAGTCTGGATTTTCATCTGCGCCGAGAGTTCGACTCTCCTCATACAAATAAATAGAAGTAAAATCAACACTCCTACAGCCTCGATTCCACCCGCACACAAGAAAGCTGTAGGATAAGAGTTGGTCTTGTCAGCCACCAAACCTGGAAACACAGTCAAGAGAATAACGGGTCCATTAGGGACATTTCGAATCGATCGTCTCTATGTGAGGCTTATTTCTCTGGGGTTCCTATGCAGGGTGCCAATTATTGGCTCTTTAAAGGGGGAAGGGGTTTTGTGGGGCTTTTTGTTACGGTATACAGTTTGCAGACGGCAGTAGATTTAGTAGACATCTATATTTATACAGGATAGCCCCTTCAGTGTAGTAAACAATGGTATCAACGGGGGTCCTGTTAACCACCCATCCCACCCCAGGGGAGGACATCCATCACACAGTAATCTCGTGCGTGGGAAATTAACGTCTCCTGCCCCTAACCCTGCAGGAGACGGGAACTCCATTTATTCATCCCTATCCGAGAAGACTAGTTCTTCTCAATTATTTTAAGACCCTGAGTGTTGGTCCGGCCGGGGCTCGAACCCTCGACCTCCCGCACAACAGTCCAGCGCTCTATCCATTGAGCTAACCGGGAGGCGGTAAAGCAGACTTTTTCAATTACTTAACAATTATTCCACTCGCGCTTGTTGGATATGAGATGATAGATAGCCAACGAGACTCTTAGCGCCGAGTTGGCTATAATCATCTCATATCCAACAAGTACGAGTGGAATAATTGTTTTATTAAAAACGCCCCCAAGATATTAGACAAATCTTACCAAATCATAAATTTTTTTAGCTCCCTTTTAATTTTAACCCGACGCGTACGCTTACCATATTTGTAGATTAAGGTATATTGGTTCATATACCATTGTGGCTAAGCCAATAAAAAGCCTTGAATTGCATCATACAATGATCCAGTTTTTAATAAAATAAAATATAGAACTGAAATGCAACTTAGCCAAAGTGTACAACAGAACAACGCCGTCCCTTTTTGCTTATAGCATTATTTTTTTCCCTTGTACCTTCAGCTTGGAGAGAGCAAATATACACGAGCACTACCTACAACCGTCTCTTTTTTTAGAGTTCAGTTCTCTCCACGCATTTAACGATCGGGTTAATATATTATTATTATTATCATTATTTCTTCTCCTTATGAGAGGACCTTGTTCAGCAGTAAATTGAATCTCGTAAAGCTTTTAATCTCTCACTTTGATCCCAGGACAAAGAAATAATCCAAGCCCGTGAGGGGATTTCAGTAACTAATGATGGAATTTTGTAGCTTCTTTCGCTCGTTTATTCATTCGTTTTTAACTTCGTTGGTTTGTTTATTCGTTCGTGTATACCTTCGTTCGCTCGTTTATTCGTTAATTCGTTTTTTTCGTTTCGTCCAGTTATTTGTTCGTTTGGTTATACCTTCGTCAGCTCATTTCTTCGATAATTCGGTTTTTAATTCGTTTGATCGATTGTTCGTTTGTTTATACCTTCGTTTGCTCGTTTCTTCTTTAATTCATTTTTTTAATTCGTTTGTTCGTTGGTTTATAAGTTCTTTGGTTTTTCATACATGCACTCGTTCAGTTAACGTCAGTTCCTTCTTTTCTTCACTTTTATCTTCTTTATTCAATAGTTTTTTTGTCATTCTCATTTGTCTTGCTTTGACAACTTACACATTCGATTTGAGACATACCTCCAATTGGTGCACCAAACAAAAGCGCTACACAAACACACGATTGAAAAAAGCCAAATCCCTGAGCTTTCTGTCTCTGTGTCAGAGTTTCCAAGGATGAAAAAACTGATCCAATGGCTATCAGACCATCAGCTAGGCCATAAACTATAGAAAAACAAAGTAGCCACGTCCAGTTAGTTGCTAAAGGCAACAAAACAGAAACAGCAACCGCATCGACTGTTCCAAATACGAGCAGCACTTTATGGGGGCCGATGATGTCAGAAAGCTTTGAGCCCAGTGATCTGGCTAGTAGAGATGCAAGTCCAATGCAAGAGTAAAGCCACGTGATTAAATCTTTGCTGACACCGAGATCCTCACTGTACCTGCCCTAAGAAAATAAAAAATAAATGTTGAGCGGTCGTTTGTGTGAGATTACTTTTCTAACATAATCCCCGAGCTTAGCAACGTTGGAATCTTTCTATCGGGGTAATTGAATTACGCAAACTCGCACTGTGTCATTCAAGGGAGAATCCAGATCAGACTGATCTTCTTTTAGTGATACGCACTTACCTTCATCAATGGAGCACTTCATTTCCGTCGGGGAACATGATTTTCCTTATCCTGTTCCCCTGCCCTCTACCCCTTTGTTTAACTGCCCACAAACAAGGGGAAAAAGACTCTGGAGACGAAGTTGACAAGTATTGAGTATTGGGTCAAGAGCTTTGAAGGTAACAAGCGCTCCCTAAACGCACTGACCGTAATGGAAAACGCCAAGCCAATGTTAATAAGAAATGTGAGCCTGTCTTGACCCTCTATTACATCAATTGAACGAGTTTGTAAAATAAAAATAATCTGTGAACTACTTACAAAATGGACTGAAGGGATGGTATGGCCAATGAAGACGAAAAAGCTTGTAATATTAAGCACTACGAATGTAACATTTTCCCACATCGAAAAATCCAGAATTCTACATGTTTGCTGCGGTTTAGATAGTTGAGTTTCTTTAACTGTTACTTCGGGTTCTTCATTAGCAACATTAGGATCCAAGCTCCAAGCAAGGAAAAAAATTATCGACACAAGACAACTCATGCCTCTAAATGCACCCCTCCAACCGAATGCATCAACAAGTGCCTGACATACAGGGCTCATAACAACTAATGAAGCCCCTGTGCTCATTGTTATCAGTCCTGTGGCCAGCGAACGATGTTTGATAAAGTATCGAGGCACGATCTCGAAGACTGAAATGTAAATAAGGCTTGAACCAAATCCAGCTATTCCACCGTACGTCAGAAGCATAAGATTAAGATTGGGAACTATTGACGTCAGCATGAGTCCAGTTGCGCTAATCAGTGATCCACAAATAACCACTGCGCGTGCGCCAAAACAATCTGTCAGTCTTCCAGCAACAGGACCGAAGAGGCCAGCAGCTGCCATCGCTAAGGATCCTACCCATGCTGAAAGACAAGTAAGAAATGCTCGACATTCTTTGTATTTAGTTTACGAGAGAATAATTTAACTTGTCATAATCACCCTGCCTTTATCAATTCATGTCCTCAGACAAGGACGAGCAAGCCTTTGCTTAAATCTTCTATAAAAAAAATTTTGAATACTCTCAACAAAATTGTAATGGCTTAGTTAACAAATATTTTTGTGGTTGGCTCACCAAACACCTGAATTTCATCAGTTACGTAAAGACTCCTGTGATCTCCTCTATAAGTTCGATGATTTCGGTCTCTAGAATGGAGGTCTAAGGCAAACTCAAAATGCCAGGCATCCCATATAAATAAGTATTGTGTAGAACACGTGTTTCTTTCGATATGGGGCTGTAATCTTTAATCTTTAAACTTTTCAAGTACACGACGGTCGATGAATAAGTGGGGGGAAAAAGAGCTCATCGATATCTTGAAGCTCTCCTCGCAAGAGCCTATCAAAGTGCATATCAGTTGCTCATGATAGACACAGTTCTCACCAGAGCGCTTTATGGTTTCCTGATACCCAGTCCCACGCTCGAGGAGCACTGGCTATGCATCTATCTATCGCGGTTCCCAATCTTTAACTACTTATAAAGGATTCAAGATTAGCCTTATTAGAGCCAATGAGCCTCATTTATAAGGAACAGCTTCCCTCTCCGCATCAGCTTAGGCCTTTTTTAATTGTAGTGGTTCAACTTTCGTCCTTTCCAGCTTCGGGGCGCGTTTTTCCTCCATATGACTCTTGTGTATCGGAGGAGAAAGCGTTCAGGAAAGCTGATCGTATACTACTCACCAGTATTTGATTTTCCTTCGTTAAACTCAACGAGAAGAAAAGGAAATATAATACCAAAGCAGTAGGAACATCCTATGACGATGATCAGAGAAGCCACTCCAACTGCACACACAATCCAAGACCAGTATGTATCTGGTTGACGTAATTTTCTTTCACTCTCTGTTCGTGTTTCGTTCACACTCTCTTTGACACGAAAGCCGGAGGCTGAGGCTTCTATTTTCATTTTTATGGTATCCGCCAGGAAGCTGTGAATGAAATAACGTCTTTTTCTTATCTGATTGAGTTTGCATTTAAAGGGGAACTATTATCAATTGCAGATTGTGCGCTGTAATAATGTAGACTTAATCCAGGCACAATTCGATTTGTCCTTGCTGGTTTTCTAGTTACCATTAGGAAAGCAGGTGAGCCATAGGTATAGGTATCCTATAACCCTTTGCACCCTAACATCGGTAGGCATATTCTCCCTACTGTTCACTATAAATTGCCTTTGGTACTGAGGAGGAGAATTTGTTCATCAATCTTAGGTTGGCCATTATTTCCATTATTCTCCTAACCTTAATGAGTGAATCAGCGGTATTACTGTATGAAGAAATTAGATGCTGGTCACTCTTAAGGTTTCAAGGGATAATTATTAAGAAGCGTCTTCTCAACCGGTGAGAACACCTTCGGTGAATTCAATTAGCTAAAGTCTGTTTACGAGCCTAGTGGCCCATTAGTCCGGTGCTTAACTCCGGTTTCTGTAGCATGAAGCGACTAGGAGTATTTCTACTCCCCCCCTGGATGGGATGCCAGTCCATCGCAGGGTTACCCCCCAGCATCAAATTGCCGGTACCCATTTAAACACCTGGGCGAAGAGAGGCACTGTGAGAGTAAAGTGTCTTGCCTAAGAACACAACACAATGTCCCGGCCGGGGCTCCAACCCGGACCACTCTATCCGGAGTCGAGCGCACCAACCAGGGGGCCACCGCGCCTCCACGTGCCCCTAAGAATAGATCGAAAATAAGGTGGAAGAAAGAAAATGGCCATGTACGAATTTGGCGCTCTTTCCTAGTCCTACTCGGTTACTCATCGCTCTGTATTTTTTAACGCGTCTGTCAGTTAGAGACGCGCGTGGATACGCCTACAAACTAAAATGTACAAAACTTGATTTTCAGCATTATCCAAGTTAATAATCTAGCACCGACTCAGTAATGAGTAATATCACAGCTTAGCTAGAGCTTCGTAACGGCAGCGACGGGTTTTTTTAGTGGCGCTAGTCTCAATCGGCGCGGCGTTTATCTTCTTCGCGTTTTTTTACCAGTTTACAAGAGCTTTTTTCGAAGTTATACATCGGTAGCCTTTCAAATCGACGTTTTAAGTTTGGAACTCGCGTAATCAGTTGGAGAACCCAGGTTTAACCAGACGTTATGACTGTGCTCAAACATCTTTCATATGAATATTGCTACATCTCTTACAAGTTGTTTAACAAACCCAGGAAGAAAGGGCACTTGCTGCCGAATCTTCACCGAGATAATACTACAGTAGCTACTTTAAATGAGGCGAGGGATATAATTTAAGGCTAAAAGGTAACACGATAAAATAAGAATTCCTAACCGTTACAACTGAATCTGATGTTCAATAGAGGCATCAATCGCGAAAATCATTGAGACGCATGCCCCGGTAAAGCTGTTTTAAGTTTAAACCACCAGCCTTTTTTACTTAGTTTCCAAATTCTCTTTGGTTAACCTGCTTATAGATGTCCCAGTAGAAAACAAAGAGAGAGAGGTCAATGAATGGAAAACATTGCATTCTTTTTACCTAAGCACCTGGTATTTTTATGTAAATGAACAAATGTTTTCAGTTAAATCGCAACAAGTTTTTTTCAGGTAAAGTTTTCGTTTATGACAAGGAACTCGGCATTCTTCGTTACTTGCCTCTGCATCGAAACGTGCAAGTTCCAAGTATCTATATTAAGAATAAGGAGCTTTAGTTCCGACTTCGAGACGCCGACGGCTGCCAGGAATAAACATTTTTTACCTTGGAGCTAACTATAGATCTCCTGCAAATAACGTGTAGTTTAAATGCGAAAAACACGGGCATAATGTTAAAACTCTGCGTCCTTTTAAACAGAGATCGCTAGCTTTAGCATAGTGGGCCGGGTGAATAAGATTATTTTTTAGTGTACCTTACCTTTATGGCTGCCCGAAAGGTTGCCGTTATATATGATTGATATCAATTGTTTTGCGTATTTTTTCGGATGGAAAATTTACAAGCATAATAATCAAAACACCTGTGGCTCCCGCTGACCAAATGTCACACCTCGTTTTTTTTATTCTAGATTCTAGATTCTAACTGACTGAGTGAAATAGGACGAGGTGGAAAACTTTAAAGAACATCATGTTCTTTCTTCGTTTTTGAAAATTAATTTCAGGTTTTTTCTTTTTCTAATTACTTATATTTTTTCAATACATATTTTTTTAATTGTGTCTTCTAGCCTTTTTTTCCCAGCAGTTCCGTTGATATCTTTATCGGAATATTTAACGTCATTCTGAAAGGAAAAAAAAGTTCAACCCCTTGAAATAGACCTCCTCCTATCGCATACAAGCTAGAGATCAGGGGGGGGGGGCCAATTTGTCGCTCAGCACAATTAAGACCCGTCTAGAAATCTGAGAGTCTCAAAAAACTCAGCGGAGCCTTGAAGGAATTCAATGTTTCAATACTAGCAGCGTAGGAATCGCAAATAAAAGACTAGTAGTCGATCGGAAAGGGAAATAGTATCGACAATTCAGGCCTGAATTGTTTCCACTTTTTAGTGTAATTCATTCATTTGATATTACTATTATCTCTGACCGTTGAAGAGAAGGCACATGGTTCCGACCGAAACCCGGACCGCCTGATGAACAACTACTGTAATTGCAGAATTCCTCAGGGTTGTTTCTTTTATTGAATTTTATTGTGTTGTATTATTATTGTGTCGGTTTGTAAAGGTGCTGAATCCATCGTTTCCGGGCAACAGAAACGCGACGCTTCATCCTTCGGTAAACTTCGACAACTTTCGGAGCGTGTCGGAATTTGAATACGTCATCCAGCATACAATTCTTCGTGTACGAGCAGCGAATAAAATTTTAATTTGCTGCTGTCTTTGACGTTGTCGCTCTTTTCCACCATCTTGGCTTTAAGATTTCAATTCAAACCATCCCAAGTAATCTCCCGAGTGAAAGGCCTCTGGCGGATTTACAGATATAAACAAAAACCCTTAGAAAAAATTTCGTCTCGTATTTGCTGGAAATATCTAGTTGGACACAAGGATAACTCCGTCAAACGTCACTGAGCTTTTCGCCCTTCCGCCATATTGAGTTTGCAAGGAAATTTTTGACGTCGTAAGAATCTGCAAGTTGGGGCATTTTTCACCGCTTCTTACCTTCATGACTGCCTATCCAGAATGTCCGACAGGTTTGGGCTTAAAGTAAAGGAAAGTGCTGGGAAGACGAAGTATTCTTCACTCAACTTAAATCAGACATACAAAGGAACTAAGGTTGAAACCAAGACATCCTCAGGTTTGTATTTCTTCTCAATCGTAGAGACTTTGCGCTTCATTTACAGTGCTATAAGCCTCTAAAATCCAGGTTGTGACACTGCACTGAAATAAAACCTGAAAGTTGGTCTTTTTCGCTTTGGTTTTGATCGGCGAGTCTTTGAAATGCGGCTTCCGGTTTTGTGGACGCTACGATGTTAAACTCGTGTGGCGTAAGATCGGGTACATGAAAACTCACAAATGTTGTTTTAGTTCTAAGGTGGGCGCTATTTTTCCACAGGTACCGCTCGTCATGGCCTTCAGAGCCTCGGAAAAGTCGGTGCAAGTCGTCGCATTCCTCCTCCCGCCAATCTTCCTTCTTTGAAAAGCGAAAACTCCGGCAACGATCCCACAGTATCTTTAGTTCCTAGTGGAGGTGGAGGATGGGGCAGTGCGAAGGAGAAGCCTTCGGAAACTACGCCAGCAGCTGCATCTCAGGCAATACCTCCGAGTTCTACGCCATCGCAAACAAATGTGCCATCTTCTCAGCAGCCGCTATTGCAGCCGCAGCGGCCTATACCACCGCCGTCTCACCCACAACCAGTTCAAACGCAATCGCAAAGTTCGGGGCAGACACAAAATCAACCGGCCAAACAGCAAGAATCTCAAGCAAAAACATGGGGCACTGTATCATCAAACGAGGCTGGTGGTCAAGGTAAAGGAAACACGAAATTTATTTTGCTATCTGCGCGACTAATTGTTTTTGTTTAGCGAAAGAGTCTGCATTTTGACAACACTTCTCATCCTCTCATCTGCGGTAATTGAAAATTCCTTACTTGTGCTTTCATTTTCTTCAAGTAATTAGACATAGTTTTTGGTGGGAAGAGGGACTCTTTTTCTTCGGAACTTTCGTTATTACCTTTTTGTTGTCAAAACTAAGTTTCGTTCATGCTCTACAGCTTAATTTAGGCGTCGGGTACATTTAGCTTATTATAATAATCAAGTATTTATGATTAGTCGAACCTTTTGTTTTCCACTGACAACATATAGGTTTATCTTTGTACGTCGTATGGCGGTGTTGGGTCTTGTGGAAACATAGTTTTGTAAATGTTTAGAAACTTTTTCTTGCATACGCTTATGCCATGTGTATTTACCTTGGCCATCGAAAGGATGGAATTCTGTGTCAGTTCAAAGCCAATATTGTAAATGATACCAGGTCTAAAATTGCTGTGAAATTCTATCATTGCTTTAAAATCTCTCTCTCACCTTTGTAATTCGTCCATAAAACTAACAATATATTATTAAGAAGTGCACTACTTTTGCACACTATTAGCAAGTACAGTACCCAAATTAATAATATTGGAGAACCAGAAAGAAAAAAAATAACTAGACACCAAGAGCAAAAAAAAGTGAATGGAAAATAGGTTTCTTCATCTCTTGTTTACTGTCAGAACCATGGGACTTGATGAAAGACGAGTGAGATTTTGTTCAATATGATACAATGCTAACCTTGTGGTAAGGGGTGAGCAGCTCTTTATTGGCTAGAAGAAAAGGTTGTCTTCTAGGGAATATTGCCTTTAAAATTCAA